AAAAAAAAAAAAAAAAAAAAAAAAAAAAGGAGCCGGAGTGCTGCCCCTTGGAAAATGCTGCCCCAAGCACATACTTGGAGCACTGGTGCCTAGAGCCGGCCCTGGTTAGATGCTGGACACCATCTCTGCAGGCTAAAACTAAATAAAGGGCCATGCTTGTGCAGTTCCCTCTTTTTCTCCCCCCGCCCAAAAAAAACCTTCCCTGTGCTGGGCTTTTCTTCCCTAATCTCTAAAGATAACATGCCCTCTTTCCACCAGGGTCTGCCTCAAAGTCATTTTTCTAAAACAAATGACCAATGTTTGTAATATGAGCAAACCAAACTACCATGTTACTTGATTCTTCTTCTAGCAGACCCATCCAGTTCAAATCTCCTCCTTCTCGGGATGGCGTTTATCTATACTTTTTTCCTTTGTATGCCTCACTCTAGTCAAGTACTACAAACTGGCCAGGGAACTGCATTTCCCAGCAATCCCTCACTGCTGAGAAGGAGGTTCTAGTCCATTCAGAACTTTGAACTCTGGTCTTGGGCCCTAGGCTCTAAAGATATTTAGCTCTGTGGGCTACTCACAAACCACAAAATGTGTCCTTTAGACCTTTTCTTCTCCCTCAGCAACTGTTCTCTGTCCCACAGATGTGTTCCCAGAAGAAAACCTTGTAATGGGGTAGTCTGTCCTCTTTAGAGTCTCCCTCCCTCCCCCAGCTGTAAAGGAAGGGCTGTTACTTTCCATTAGACCACCATTTAAGGGGATAAACTAAAGTGAGTTGCCCTTTAAAATCAAGACATTTGTCTATGACATGACATGCATTGCAAATGCAATTTATTGCTTCTGCTCTGTTTTTCAGAGGAAATCCCCTAAAGTATTGTTTTTGGCCTCTTCTCTGTAATTTGGTGGCTAAGGCACTGCAAGTGTCTTATGTGCCCAGCTCAAATTAAAAATTGTGGGGAGCTGGGCATCTAACTCACTTTGAAAATCTTTTATGCCTTTGAAAATCTTAGTCTATAAACTCTTTCCAGCAGGGACAGTACCTAGCACAACTGGGCTCTGGTCTCAGTCGGGGCCCCTCGATGCTAATTATTATACAAATAAATAATAATCTTACATCATTTCCAGTGCTTGAATGGAAAAACTTCCAAGATGAAGAATGGTAGGGAGAGCAACAAGCAGAGAAGGGAGAGGTAAATACAAAAAAGGAAAATATTACAGAAGAATGAAAGGGGGAACGGAACAACAAATGGAGAGAAAGCCAAGCCAAACAGGGTAGCAGAGAGAATTAGACACATGCAAAGCCAGGAAGAAGAGAAAATGAAGCAAAAATAGAACACCGAAAACAATAAAAGTAAGATGAAAAAGGAAATTAATTCAAGTGAAATCTAGAAGGTAAAGGAAAACGGAAATGGAGCTACATTTTTAAAAGGGAGAGGAGAAAAGAGAATGAGGACAGAACACTATATTGATAGCTGAGCATTCAGGTAAATATAAATTAGAATGCTGCTTCTTTCTGCTGTAGAATTGAGAGCGAAAGTCAATTTTCTTTGATCTGCTCCAGTGGTGCAGACGAACTCTGAGGGAATGTACCAATTAAGAAAATATTGAAATTGCTAGTCCAGCGTTTTACATATCTTAGGTTATACCAGAAAGAGGATGCATTTGAAAAATAAATGAACCATGATATTAGCTCTACAACAATTCACTCAACTCTTTGTGGAAAAGGGGAGGAAAATGACTTCCCTTATTCTGTCGATCTTATATGTTCATTACATTATAAAACTGCTATGATTTTGTTTCAAGGTCTTGACACCCAAAATATCAGTGGAGAGTAGTGCTTAATGAAACTAGGCACTTCTTTCCCCTCCCATGAAAACTCAGGCAAAACTCTTGTCAATTAATTTCCTATTACTTTATCTCCTGAAATGTCACTTTTTATTCATGAAATGTCCGGAGACAAACTAAAACAATCTCTTGAGGGAAAAGGTCAACCAGGAATAGTAGTGTAAAACTTCAAGGATTGTGAAAGCCTGCTTGGAGGCCGTTAGACTGCAGGTATGTGAAGAAATTGTTTTGTAGGGCAGATCTACACTTAAAGCTGCACCAGTGCAGCTGCGCCACTGTATCACTTTAGTGAAGATGCTACCTCTGCTGATGGAAGAGCTTCTCCCATTGGCGTAGTTAATCCACCTCAGTGAGAGGCAGTAGCTATGTTGACAGGAGAAGCATTCCCATCGACGTAGTGTTGACTACACCAGGGGCTAGGTTGGTATAACTGTGTGTGTGGCTCAGGGGTGTAGATTTTTCATGCCCCTAAGCAATATAATTATACTGATGTAAGTTTGTAGTGTAGACCTGGCCTCTGTAGCTATATGGCCTAGGAATGAACATAGGACAGGGAACTGAGAACCAATGGAGTTCTATTTGCTACTTACTGATCCAAAATTTCCCACTTAATCCTGCATTGAGCTCCATGTGGGTAAACCTCGTGCAGATCTCAGAGCAGGTTTGGTGCCTTATTTAGTGTATTTTGTGAACATTTTTAGTTAGGTTTTATACAGGGGTGCTGGAACAATTTGTATAGTGTGGGTGCTGAGAGCCATTGTACCAAATTGTAAACTCTCTATATAATGGAAACCACTTCAAACCAGCACCCCTACTTCCAGCTCCTGCACCTCTCTTAGCAGGTAGTTAAATATCATCCTTGTTGTACAGATGGGGAAAACAGAACCTTGGAGAATTGAGGCCAAGATTCTAATACATGGATGCCTAAATTTAGGCTCCTGCTTTCATATTTAAACAGCTAAATAAGTTCCAGTAGCTTCCATTAACATAAATGTTGGTGCTTGAATATGACCTGAGGAGCCTAACTCTAAGACCAAAATTT